TGTTTGTTTTTCAAGGCCTAAATGGTGAAAATGCAACTGACTTGGAACTGAAAGCTGTCCTCACTTATACAGTTTACCTATAGATAGGGCCCTACCAAATTCATGGCCATGAAAAACGTGTCATGGACCATGACATCTGGTCTCCCCCCCATGAAATCTGGTCTTTTGTGTGCTTTTGCCCTATGCTATACAGATTTCATGGGGGAGACCAGCGTTTCTCAAATTGGGGGTCCTGACTCAAAAGGGCGTTGCAGAGAGGTCACAAGGTTATTTTAGTGGGGGTCACAGTATTGCCAAACTTACTTCTGCACTGCCTTCAGATCTGGGCAGCTGGAGAGCAGAGGCTATTATCTTGGCACCCAGCTCTGAAGGCAGAGCCCTGCCATCAGCAGCCCAGAAGTATGGGGGCAGTACCATTCCATCCACCCTTACTTCTGCACCATCCTTACTTCTGCACTGCTGCTGGCGGCAACGCTGCCTTCAGAGCTGGGATCCCGGCCAGCAGCTGCCCCTCTCCAGCTATCCAGCTCTGAAGGCAGCGCCGCCACCAGTAGCAGTGCAGAAGTAAGAGAAGCAGTACCGCAACCACCCCTCCCACAACTCCTTTTTGGGCCAGGACCCCTACAATTACAACACCGTGAAATTTCAGACTTAAATAGCTGAAATCATTAAATTTATGATTTTTAAAATCCTATGACCGTGAAATTGACCAACATGGACCGTGAATTTGGTAGGGCCATACCTATAGGCTGTTAATTACCCCACCGTTGCACAAGCTATTGCAAAGAGCTTGAATACTTTTGGGGGTGGATTTTGATGATAGTGCATTTATCACTGACAATCCATCCTACATGTCTAAAGCTTACCTTCAAGCACTTCAGGGATTCCTGCCTAATTCATTTATTTTACCTTTAGCCTTCACATAGTAGCTAGCCCTGGCTAGTGACATCTGGAGGCCCAATTTCCCAGACATTTAAGAAGCTAACAGGCAAAAGTTTTTAAAAACCGTCTCAGCAGAAAATTGCATTTTAAAGAACATCCACCAAGGGCAGTGCAGGCTGTGGGTTCAAATCTTCCTCTGAAATCACCCTCTGAACCATTCCAGCAGAGCGGAGTCCTCATTGAATAGATAGTAGTCCTGCCTTACCAATCCGAGCCTCCAGCGGGAATGCTAGCTCTAGGGTATAGCGCCCTGTGAAAGCGTGGCTAGACCTGCAGGTCGACGCTCTGCGTGTTTCCAAAATCACGCCATGCCACGCCAGGCAAGCAGCCGTTGCCCTTGTGGAATGTGATCTATTGCTCTGACCGGGGGATTCCTAGGTTTGTTTGTAGGTTTCTTCTTTGCACAACTGATAAGCCCCTTAGACACGCATAGGGTGACCAGACAGCAAATGTGAAAAATCTAGACTGGGGTGGGGGGGTAATAGGAGCCTATATAAGAAAAAGACCCAAAAATCGGGACTGTCCCTATAATATTGGGACATCTGGTCACCCTAGATACGCATAACGACTGGATGTCGGGAATCAGGGCCTGCAGCAGAGGCAGTTTCCAGGCAAGGGTGCTGGAGCCTTCCCAAAAGCAGGGTGGGCCCTGCCCCCTGAGGCCCCGCCCCCACCCCTCCTCTTCCTCTGGAGACCCCAGGGCAGGTGGAGGGACCCGGGCTCCCCCCAACCCGGCTCCGGCCAGGGACCCTCAGCCCAGCCATAAGAGCCATGCGGGCAGCGGTGGGGAACCGCGGCGGACTCTCCACCTGTCTGCGGTGCGGGGGATCCAAGAGCAGCCCCCGGACCCCCCCGCCCAGGGCAAGTGGAGGGTCCGCGGCTCCTGTGCGGCTCTTACCATGGCCAGGCGGCAGCTCCAAGGGCCCCCCAGCCAGAGCCGGGTAGGTTTCAGAGCCGCGCAAGCAGCTGTCGTCACCCGGCATGGAGTCGCGGCCCCTCCACCTGCTCAGGGTGGGACACGGGCTGGGAACTGCTTCCAGCCCCCCCGCACCGCAGGCAGGTGGAGGGTCCGTGCGGCTGGCCTGGCTGGAGGGTGGGGTCTTGGGGGGAAGAGGAGGGGAAGGGGGTGGGGTCCACCCCGACCAAAAATTGGACAGGCCACGTCCATCCACTTTCAAAAAGCGGGAGGGCTATGGCTCCCCCTGGCCTCTCCGGTTCCAGCGCCACTGTCTCCCGGCTACTTAAGGAGCATTGCGGGCCTATAGTTGGCTCCAGTGCCTGATTGGTTGGAAGAGTCACCAGAGCAGCTCTCAAACCCAGTGGCTGCTCCAAGCACTCACCCACGGCTGCAACAGCTCCTCTGCTTGCTTGTTCCCAGCCATGCTCCTGCTGTGCCTCCCCGCAGGTAACCTGGTCCTGATCCTCGGCTCCGATTCCTGACTCCTGGCTTCAGCACTGACCCTTGGCTCTGGCATCTGGCCTCAGCTGCGACTCCTCGGCTCCGAGTCCTGCTCTGACCACTAGGCACGACCGCCCATGTGCCGGTCACTGACGCCGGGGAACTCTGGGAGGGGATTCTCTTTTACTTTCCCAGTGGAGAAGTGGGATAACCTGAGCCCTCAGTTTTCCTTAGTCCCTTGACGTTTTTCCCCTGAGGATCCCTGACCAGTGGTGCTTTCAAATCCATGTACAGCCCCACCTCTGGATCTGACGGATGTACTTGGGCCACCGCTGGAAAGGGGGCAGTGGACAGTGCCAGGGAGTCTGAAGTTGTCTCCAGCCTCTTTTTCGGCCACCATTTTTGGAACCGATATGCTTGTTCCATTTGGGGTATGACCCTCCGTTGCGGCTTTGCTATCACAGACCCTTTGGTTTGGGGGAAGGAGGAGGTTTCAGCATGGAGCCCATGGGATCTGAGGGTGTCCAGGTGTGCAGATGGGCTCTGCTAACAGAGGCCGCCCCCTGCAGGCTCCTGCCATGCTAAGCAATCAGCGCTGATGGCTGCGGATCCAGAAGTACCACGATCTTGGCCTTTTCCCTGCTAACAGAGCTCGGTACCTTGCGTGATCTCTTGCACTGTTTTTTAGCTCCTGAAGGAGCTGGGCAGTGCTGAAGAACGCGAGAGAGGCTCTCACATGCACAGGAGCAGCTTTAATAGGCTAAAGAACAGGAGTACTTGTGGCACCTTAGAGACTAACAAATTTATTTGAACATAAGCTTTCGTGGGCTACAGCCCACTTCATCGGATGCATGCAGTGGAAAATACAGTACGAAGATATATATACACACACACACACACAGAGAACATGAAACAATGGGTGTTATCATACAAACTATAACGAGAGTGACACAAATGGACACAAATCAGACGTCAAGAATTATAACATTAAAAAACCAGTTGGAGAACACTTCAATCTCCCTGGTAACTCGATTACAGACCTAAAAGTTGCAATATTACAACAACAAAAACTTCAAAAACAGACTCCAACGAGAGACTGCTGAATTGGAATTAATTTGCAAATTGGACACCATTAAATTAGGCTTGAATAAAGACTGGGAGTAGATGGGTCACTACACAAAGTAAAACTATTTCCCCATGTTTATTCCCCGCCCCTCACGGTTCCTCACACCTTCTTGTCAACTGCTGGAAATGGGCCGTTTTGATTACCACTACAAAAAGGTTTTTCTCTCTCCTGCTGGTAATAGCTCACCTTAACTGATCACTCTCATTATAGTGTGTATGGTAACACCCATTGTTACATGTTCTCTGTGTATATATCTATCTATCTTCCTACTGTATTTTCCACTACATGCATCCAATGAAGTGGGTTTTAGCCCACGAAAGCTTATGCTCAAATAAATTTGTTAGTCTCTAAGGTGCCACAAGTACTCCTGTTCTTTTTGCGGATACAGACTAACACGGCTGCTACTCTGAAACCTTTAATAGGATAGTGGGTGCCCTGACCTGATTTGTAATTTTTTTTTTTTAACTAGGTCTACAACCTCTCGTGACCCCCGCTTTAAGCACTGGAGCGGAGGCTGCGACAGGCTTATCCATATGCTCAGATCCTTTAGTTTGGCAGCTAAAGCTGGAGAAGCAAGGCTTGGAGCAGGTTTTAATGCCCCTTAGGAGCTGTCGGGGTGGAGGTGCTGTGAGTCTGGGTGTGGCGCAGCAAGCTGGATAAACTCTCCCCGCTTCCCAAGCGAACCAGGCACCTAACATGGGCGTCTGAAGCGGGGAATACAGCAGGACAAGAGGCCCGCCTCTTAAATCCTGGCCGATTCCCTTCTGGATCCGTGGATCCGGGCTAGGACAGATATAAACATAAAACCGTCTGGAATGAATCAGAGCCACCCAGCGAGGTTTCTGATCCATCTGCAGCAGCAGCAGGAAGGGGCCCAGGTGGGCAGAGCAGCACGCCCCCTTTTCTAGCCCCGCCCTGAGGCTGTTCAGGAGCAGCATAGGGAAGGCCAGGAGGGGGCGGGAGAGGAGGCCCACAGGCACTGCCATGAAACCCACCGCTGTCAGCAGCCCCACCAGCGAGCACACCCTGTGAGCGGGACTGTGTAGAGGCCCCTTACCTACAAATCAATCTGCTGTGGGGGATGAGTAGGGTGACCAGACAGCAAGTGTGAAAAATCGGGATGGCGGTAGGGTGACCAGACAGCAAATGTGAAAAATCGGGACAGGGTGAGGGGGTAATAGGAGCCTATATAAGAAAAAGACCCCAAAATCGGGACATCTGGTCACCCTAGGGATGAGGGGGAGCGATGCTTAGCTTGCAGTGCTGATGTGGCGCATGTCGAAGGCCTGCGTTACCCCCCCTGCCACCTGCAGGCCTCGCTCCCTTGCACTGCAGCTGAGGAGTGCAGCGCTGTGTTTGCTTGGCTTTGCAGACTTTGCTCGACAGAACTTGCTGTGCTGGCTCCAGGCTGCAGTGTTTCAGCCAGGCCAGCACTAGGACCCTGTGGGGTGTGGAGGAGGGAGTGGTTGTGGGAGCAGAAAAAGGAACTTCTTTATAAGCCGTCAGGCACTCCTCCTGCTGCACCAGGCAGGAAGGGAAAGGCAGGGACAGGCTTGCCCAAGTGCAGCTGTTGCACCCAGGAGAAAGCAGCCAGCATACAGAGCGCCTGACAGGAGAGCGGGTGCTGTGCACTGAACAATGTGCCCAGGGTCTGCCACTCACACCCTGTTGCTTCCTGGCCTCCCCCCAGAGAACCACCACCACAGCTTCCAGAGACAGGCAGAGCTCTGACTGTCCTGAGGAGGGGAAGATGGATGAGGAAACAACAGGCGACTCTGAGACCTTGCTGGAAACGCCAGGGCCGGCTGAGCTGAGGAAACCGGTGCTCTTCAGAACTTACAGGCGGCGATGGTTCCTGCTGGTGGTGGTCTGCCTGCTGAACTGCTCCAATGCCATGGTGAGTACCGGTGACACTGCCCTCAGCGCTTAAACCTGTTTTCTTGTGGAAACCTGACATTCTGGTCTGGAACAAGCCTGCCTTTCTGTGACACTGGTGGGGAGAGAACAGCTCTGTCCCAACTAGCATCTGTAGCAGACGAGCTTCTAAGAAACAACGATTTGTCTTAATGCATTACCTGTGACAATACACTGTGTCCTAAGCGTCTGTCTAGGCAGCAGCCACTTGTGATTTGAAAAGAGATCGGCCAGAGCAGAAACTTTACTCCGGGCTGGTCTACACTAAGCCCCCAGTTCGAACTAAGATACGCAACTTCAGCTACATGAATAACGTAGCTGAAGTATCTTAGTTCGAACTTAAAGGTACTTACCGCGGGTCCACACGCGGCAGGCAGGCTCCCCCGTCGACTCCGCCTACTCCTCTCGCGGAGCAGGATTACCGGCGTCGACGGCGAGCACTCCCAGGATCGATTTATCGCGTCTAGACAAGACGCGATAAATCGATCCCAGAAGATCGATTGCTTGCCGCCGAACCAGCGGGTAAGTATAGACGTACCCTTAGTGTGATGAGCTAAAAGGTTGTGGCAACCTTAACCCGGGCTGAGATATTTCACAGCAAAACTAAAATATGGAGAACGCTAACTTCAAATGGATTTAACGAGGAGGAAAAAATCGATCTAAGCAGCCTGCAGACGATTGCTTTGGGAACTTCCCTTGTCTCGTGTATTTACATAGTTTGTTTGGGAAGTTACAAAGAACTATTTTCCATGGCAACATAACAGCAGCAAGCGTTAGACAAAACCGAGCTGGAAAATACACTAACACAGCTGGTATAAATTTAACAACGTGCTTGGTTAATCATTCCTGGTTTTTGTAGGCTGCTTTTATTATTTTAAAGTGTTTGGAGAGCTTGGATGAGTTATTTGAATTGAAATCCTGCTACAAAGGCCTAGTTCACACTTGGAAATGCTTGTCAGTACAGCTATACATGTAGCCTAGAGGCAGCTTGTACCAGCAAAAGGGTGTTTTGCCAGCATAGTTGATTCCAGTTCCCCAAATAAAATAAGCTATACCACCAATATAACTGCAGCTACACTAGGGCTTTTGCTGGTATAAATCATAGAATCACAGGGTTGGAGGGGACCTCAGGAGGTCATCTAGTCCGACCCCCTGCTCAAAGCAGGACCAATCCCCAACTAAATCATCCCAGCCAGGGCTTTGTCAAGCCTGACCTTAAAAACCTCTAAGGATGGAGATTCCACCACCTCCCCAGGTAACCCATTCCAGTGCTTCACCACCCTCCTAGTGAAAAAGTTTTTCCTAATATCCAACCTAGACCTCCCCCACTGCAACTTGAGACCATTGCTCCTTGTTCTGTCATCTGCCACCACTGAGAACAGCCGAGCTCCATCCTCTTTGGAACCCCCCTTCAGCCAGTTGAAGGCTGCTATCAAATCCCCCCTCACTCTTCTCTTCTGCAGACTAAATAATCCCAGTTCCCTCAGCCTCTCCTCATAAGTCTTGTGCTCCAGCCCCCTAATCATTTTTCCAGCCCCCATATAATTTAAATTAAAAAAAATATTAAAAAAAAAAATCACATCCCTAACCAACATTACCACACTGGCAAAAGTTTTAGTGTCGACCTGGCCAAAACCTTGTACCTTGGTCCAGGACTGGCTTTGGCAGACCAGTGGGGGGAAGCCAGGACTCTGTGTCCTTGGCTCACAGCAATGTTTCTTTCTTTGAGAAATTTCAGTCACATTGCAAGAAGAAATGAAAAACCTTAAATCATTTTAAAGTCAAACATCCTTGCCAATGTCTTGTCTGCAGTGATGTGAACATGGATGGCATCTTACTTCATACAAGTAAAATACTGGACATTTTAAATGTAAGAACATAAGAATTGCCATATTGGGCCAGACCAATGGTCCATCAAGGCCAGTATCCTGTCTGCCGACAGCGCCCCCATACCCAAACTTTGGGGGCAGTGTACAGAACAGAGATGTTGGAGTGATCAACCTCTGTCTTCCCCTCCTAGCTTCTGGCAGTCAGAAGTTTAGGGTCACCCATGGGCTAGCCCCGTGGCCCTGCCCCTTCCACACAAGGCCCCACCCTCTGCAGCAGGAGCCCTGAGCCCCCTCCCGTGGCCAGAGAAGTCTTGGGCTAGCTGGTTGGACCCCGGAGCCTCCCCTCCCCCACTGCCACCAGAGCAGCCCCAGGCCAGTGTTCCACGGCAGAGCCTTCCTTGGCCTATTATACCCGCCGCCCATGGGGTCACCCAGAGCATGGGGTTGCATCCCTGACCATCTTGGCTAATAGCCAGTGATGGACCTATCCTCCATGAACGTATCTAGGTCTGTTTTGTAGAGTCAAAGCTCTTCAGCCAGGAACTCGAAAGTAGGAACTGAGCACACTAGAAGACCTAAACTTGCCCCCAACCAAGTGCAAGTAACGAGCATCTTCTCATCTTGAGCATGCTATTTCCTTGCTGCTTTTCCAATCTGCATCACAACACTTCCTTTCTCACCAGCAAAATACAATATGGGATCCCCCTGGAGAGCTGCCTGCCAACAAGCAAAGTGGCTAGCAACAGGAATGACAAGATCACACCAGACTGAAATGGTGCAAATTCTATTAAACGGCATTAGTGACCCTTGCTGCTTAAAGGCGCGGGTGTTCCCGAGGTACACTGAGTAGCTCCTCAGTCTGCTAAGAGCTAGCAGGGCTAGTAACAGAGGAAGGTGCTATTCAGCGAGAGCAAGGGTGGCACAATCTAGCCCAGAGTGTTTTAAAGATAGAGCTGGAAATAGCTTGGCATCGGTGAGTGGGCATTAGCTTGGTTTCCTCACTGGTGTAAAGCAACAGACTCATCTAATGCTCAGAAAATGGACCAAATGTGCTTCCTTTAGAGCCTCTTATGAGCTGTTTATGATCCGGGTTTAGAAAAATTGGATTTATCGAACAAAGCAGGCGTCTTTTCTGTAAGGGCTTGCCTGCCCTACAAGCACAATGCAGTTATTGTGAGTGCTTCAACGCTCTGATCTAATCCTGCCTTCACAAGGGATTGAATTGTGCCCGGGCAGCAGCTCTCCACAGCTGTCAGCTCATGTGCGCTCACTCCCACCTCCCTGCCCAAGTCCTGCAAACAGCTGTGCACATGAGCAATCCCAAGGGGCTACTCGAGGGCCTGTGTTTACAGTAGGGTGACCAGATGTCCCGATTTTATAGGGACAGTCCCGATTTTTGGGTCTTTTTCTTATATAGGCTCCTTTTACCCCCCACCCCCGTCCCAGTTTTTCACACTTGCTGTCTGGTCACCCTAGTTTACAGGATTGGGGACCCTGTTTGTATAAGTGCCTTCTCTGCATAGCTCTCCTATACTGCCTCAGCCAGGGATCAAGTGGCTTTTGACATGCCCGCAGAATGGCACCCATAGGAACACTGTGCTAATACCTGGGAGAATGAGCTGAACTGAGTCGCACAGGTCCTGGGGCCCTGTTCACAGGGCAAAACCAGTGTCATGAACAGATTACAGGAACACAAGCAGGCAGGCCGGGGAGCTCAGAGAATAGCAAGAGCTGGAGAAAGGATGAAAATTCCTTTTGAATCTTTTATTCTAAAAGTTTTGCAAGACTTGTAATATTTGAAAATGGCTGCCCAGTCCTACTAAGCTGGCAAATAAAGAACTAAGCTTTAATCAACAAACAGGTGCAACTTTTATTCAACCAGTGCTAGCAACAAACAATTGAGGTGCAGCTGGAAAGACAAAGGCCTGGTCTACGCTGGGGGGGCGGGGGTTCGATGTAAGATACGCAGCTTCAGCTACGGGAATAGTGTAGCTGAAGTCGACGTATCTTATTTCAACTTACCTCCCGTCCTCACGGCGCGGGATCGACGGCCGCAGCTCCCTCGTCAACTCCGCTACCACCGCTCGCTCTGGTGGAGTTCCGGAGTCGATGGGAGCGCGTTCGGGGATCGATATATCGCGTCTAGATGAGACGCGATATATTGATCCCCAATAGATCGATTGCTACCCGCTGATCCAGTGGGTAGTCTGGACGTACCCTTAGAGCCTAACCTCATTGCCCAAAGTCAGTAGGAATATTTTCATTGGACTTTGGTGGGCACTGGGTCAGGTTCTAAAAGTGAGGGGCCTGAAAAGTTACTTGTATGCTTAAGTGCTTGCAGAACCAAGCTATAAACACCCAGATGCTGGCTAACTGACAGCTAACTGAATCATTCACAAATATTAGAAGGGCTTAAATATGATATAAGAAGAGAGTGATTGGGAGAAATAGGATGAAATTAAGAAAGGGAAACTCTAGGTTAAATATCTTGAAAAAATCTGACTCTGTTAGCTCTAAGAAACAATCTCTGCAGGGAAGTGTTGGAAGCCCTGTTTTTTGAGATCACAGCTCTAGCAAATACATGGCAGGAAAGGGGATGGAGTAGATGTAAGGATGGAAGGTTTCTGGCCAATGGGAGCTGCAGAGCCAGCGCTCGGGGAGGGGGCAGCGTGTGGAGCTTCCCTGGCCGCCCCTGCACTTAAGGGCCGAAGGGACATGCCGGCCACTTCTGGGAGCCACGCAGAGCCAGGGCAGGCGGGGAGCCTGCCTTAGCCCTGCTGTGCTGCCGACCGGACTTTTAACGGCCTGGTCAGCAGTGCTGACCGGCGCCACCAGGGTCCCTTTTCAACCGGGCATTCCGGCTGAATACCGGACGCCTGGCAACCCTACCTCATGGGTATATAAGGGGCAGGGCATTGCCAGTCAGTTTTATATGACAGAGCTAAATAGTGCATGCAAATCGTGCATCCAAGTCATGAAACGGGCTACAAATGCAATAAAAAATAAGGTATTCAAAGGTTTAACAAATGTGGGGGGTGGGGCGCCGAAGACGCTCCTCACCTGGGGCGCCTTTTGGTCTAGGACCGGCCCTGATCAAAACTGTATGAATAATGGACACTTAAAATGGGTCCCCTCCACAGTATGCAGATAGAAG